TTGTAATTAAATAAGTGTAATAAATGTTTGCCTCCTCTTATTTTTGGTAATAATAAATGTTTGCCTCCTCTTGTCAGGACACCTGTGAATGTGCGGGACCCCCACAGATTCTTCCTCTCCTCATCGGTGATCTACAACGAAAAGTCTCATCAAGGACACAAAAATACATATTGGGCTTTTATAGCCCGGCCCATTAGTAATCTCAAAACGATGTTGTGTTGTTTATCATGGTTCGAAAGTTAAAACCAAACATTTATGATCCTTGACCAAGTTTATTAACATTGCGAGGAGACTTTGAACAGATAGAGGAACTATAATTGCTTCACCAAAACCAAAACTTTTATAGATTTCCAAAATCCAAAGCCATCAATGATCATAACTAATCAGACTGATTGGATGTTCTGAATGCAAAAGTGATCTCAAGATGAGTTTTATTAGGAACAAAAAAAGATTGAAAACAAGAGCACTTCAATGGCATTCCACATCCTCTATATTCTCTCACTCGCTAGATCGATATTTTTGTACACCAGAAAATCAAAGAATCAATCACCTGAACAAATGTATTGTAAACTCTGTGTGAAACAGAAGAACACAAGAATGAATTTATAAGTACTCTCACAAAAAGCTTGAATCATCTGTTAACTCCGATAAAGAAGCAAACCCAAGCAAAGACTGATCTTTAGCTCTCTCAATCTTGTGCTTATACAGATCATATGGCTCCCAAAGATGATCCAAAGGACAAGCCCTCTTCTCATCAAGTCTCACCCATGGCTTCCCTTTCCCACTCCAATGCAACAAACTCACAGGACCAGGATGCAAAGACCGACAACTTCCTCGTATGTTGTCTCCTCCTAGACCGTGCTGGTTCCATCTATGATCGATTGCTTCCACATTACCCGCAAACACAAGAAGAAACGGTGGTAAAGATCCAAGATCGTAGATTCTCTTCTTCTTCTGCAATTGCATCCATTGCTCTAGCTTCTCTCTGTAATTCCCTGCTCTCCATCTAACCATATCCATCACCATCACTCCCGTGTTGAAATAGCAAGGTGTTCGACCCGATATTAGACCCGGTAAAGCCGGGTCTGACCAGAACCCGGGAGTGAAATACTGCGTGAAATTCGCGTGGCAATACTCCGGAGCTCCGATTACACGTGACCCGGTCAACGTTGTGTTCCAMAGCTTGGTGATATCGTCGACCACAATCACATCCGAGTCAAGATAGATGACTCGGTCCACGCTTCGATCGAGTATGTCTCCGAGGTAGTTCCGAGCGTAGTTCAACGGATTCTCAAGGGCTTGTCTGATCGACGACGATATGAGATTGATCACCGTGTCTTCTCTAAAAATGTAGACTTTGAAGTTAAGCGAAGGGAAAGTCGACCTTACGAGTTGACTCAAGACTCGCGGGCTAGCAGAGTCGAACTCGGCAGCGATTAAGTGGAAGAAGACGTTCTCGGGACACGACGCGTGTCGGAGAACGGACTGTACGGCTGCGATCGAGCCACGGAGATACTCTGAGTCCAAAGTCATAGCGATGTGTACGAGCGAAGGATCATTGGAAGAAGACGACACGAAGTTCTCTCTGTTCACTGACGACGATACACACTCCTTGCCGTTTCTATACTCCGGAGCTTCCATGAACGGACCCAATTTATGAAACCCATTTCTTCCGCCGCCGCCGTTGCTCGTGATCCTCCCCGGACCCCTTCGTATTCCGACGGCGAACGGCGACAGAACAATCAAACACACGACCGCCGTTAGAACGACGGCGTTTAACCGCATTATCAAGAAAACAAGTCTAAATTCAAAGCGAATAAGAGAAAGATTTGATTTTTTTCCTTTTAATAAAATCCGCTAATGATTATACATTGTGCAAGATTTGAAAAAGATATTCAAGAATGTTATTTTTTTTGCATAATCGTCGTCTCTCCACAG